TGTCCATAAAGACCCTGCACTATCCTACTTGCTAAGATGGATTAGAGCTTCCTCTTCTCTTCAAAGTGCCAGGCAAACACGTTTCCAGCCAATGCGACCTTAGAACACTGCACTCAGTAGAACGCTCAGAACACTGAGATCCTGGTGAAGGTGATACCAAGCTGAAACCTGAAATCAGGCCATCTGCCCTGAAGCTGGTCAACAGAAATGGCATGTCTCTGTCTTTCATTCCCAGACCTACTCAGCTGAACCCAAACTTGCCGAAACTTCCTCTTCTCTTCAAAGTGCCAGGCAAACACGTTTCCAGCCAATGTGACCTTAGAACACTGCACTCAGTAGAACGCTCAGAACACTTAGATCCTGGTGAAGGTGATACCAAGCTGAAACCTGAAATCAGGCCATCTGCCTTGAAGCTGGTCAACAGAAATGGCATGTCTCTGTCTTTCATTCCCAGACCTACTCAGCTGAACCCAAACTTGCAGAGTCATCAAATCTCAGGTCCCTCCCTCAGCCTGGTCATGAGTTTTCTGACTTCTTCCCAGGCTCCAGAAGGTGCAACTCGAGGTATGGTATCTGTAAATAGAGTGAAAGGTGGAAGCTAATGAGATTGTTCTGGAATCTTCTTCACTATTCAAGGTAACATGGGTTCTTCAAGGAAAACTTGATTATTTAATTTGTCAAAATGGCCAGGCAATTTTTCTGTAAGTAAGGAAGTTGAGAACTTTACCTTTTCCCAAAAGAATGTCAAGTTGATTTTGTAACTTGGATCACTGCCTTACTCCTGTTTCCCTCAATATCTATGTTATATCCTATATGCCCAGACCTGTTAAGATGAACATACTCTGGAGGAGGACACTGAGCCAAAGACTGCCGTGGAGTCTCTTAGAAGAATTTTAAGACTGTTGCCATGCCGACTATGGACTCATTGATGATACACATATTCTAGACTGTGACTCAGAGCTGGAAGCTGATGAGTGAGTACGGAAACTTCCTCCAGTGTAAAA